TGACCTATATTATGTAGGAGCTTTACATTTCGAACATAACGTAACATTCTAAATATCAATTAACCTATGCAAAAAAAATTGAAGTGGGCGTGGCACATCCGGGTTAAATTACTCATTATTGACATTTTTGGCCAGGGGCATAACTCGCAAAGTATACATTTGTTCAAAATGGAACTTTGCATACAATTACCTCATATATTGGGCCACTTTGTCTTAGAATTTCAATAGTTTTTGCTTCATAGTTCAAAAAAAGGAACAGGTTTTGGAATTTAAAAATTTTCAATGTTTGACCTTGACCTTTGTTGACCTTGACCTTTCTAACATCAAACGTCATTGGCATTGGCTATCTATTTATACTTTTATATTTGCCGTCCTATGTCAACTTCCGGTTTTATAGTCGTGTGCAATTTGAAATTTTGATGGCGTATATCTCTTGATCTTGACCTTTTTAGACCTTCTCCTTTACAAGATCAAAGGTCATTGACCTTGGCTATCTGCTGATACTTTCATTTGTGAGGTCTGACGTCCACTTCCGGTATTACAATCTTCTAAAAAAATGAAAATTTCTCAACTTTAGACCGTTCTTGCGCTTGATCTAATTATCGTGGAAGGTTGATTTTTTTCAGGTTCTTTTGCATTTTGCTACATTTGCAAAGTCCCACTCTGTGCCACGAGTGGCTCTAGTTTTTTTTTTTTTTCGATTTTTCCACACCTTCTCAAGCAAAAGCTGCAACAGCTGCATCAATATTATTACATGTGTAGACCTTCTGTAGTGGCAACGTCGTAAATGAGTGTATTTTGGAACATTTTTACAAAAACGGAAGTGCCACAGGTCCACATGTGCAAAAAGTCGAAAATCGGCTCTAGAAGGCGCATTTTTGCATCGATTTTCTTCGGATTTTCATTTTTACAATCTATCTGTTATTTCTGAACTGATAGCACTTGAAAAATTACGAAATTCGAAAATTCGTAGCTCACTTTTTTCGATCAAATTTTTCAATTTTTTTGCAACTTTTTTGTTTTTGCATTGATTGATCTGAAATTTAATATGCAAAGGGGTATCACTAAAGTAAATAATATGTAGTTGTCAAATATTTAACTTTACTTCCGGTTTTAAACGGGGAATCAATTGAAAGTACAATCCACTTCTGGTCGAATAACTTCCGGTGTAATTGAAATAGGTCAACGAAATTTATGCTGATCGTAAGTAAATGATATTACCAAAAAACGAAGAAAATAAAATCCAGACCGGAAGTGATACTTTGGCCGCCATATTGAAAAAACACACTTTTGTAAAACTCAAAATGGGGCCTAAGGGTAAATGTTGATATGCTCAAATTTGATGAAAATGTATTCCGCAATCGATTGCGCAAAAAACATTGGGAGCCAAATTTTGAATTTCGCTTTTGCTTTTTTGCCACTACCGGTTGAAATTTTTTAAAGCTTTAAACGATCACACCATGTGACCTTGACCTTTGATGACCTTGACCTTCATAGAGTCAAAGGCCATTGACCTTGGCTATCATTTGATACTTTGACCTTTGACCTCCGACACGTACTTCCGGTTTTATAGCTATCCGTAAAAAGCCAAATTCGCAACTTTGGACTGCTCTAGCACGTGACCTAATTAACCTACAGGGTTAATTTTTTCGGTTTCCTAATGTGCTTCTCATGCACGTTACATAGATATATAACAATCGTTATTTTGAAGCAAAATTGAAATTCGGGATTAATTTTTTTTTTTTACAATATTTGCGTCTTTTTGAGCTTGGTATAAGTATATCTTATGATCTATTTGATGTAGAACCTTGATATTTGGAATACAAGTAGACACTTTGAATATGAATTCACCTATGACAAAATATCTTATGTGGGCGTGGCACATCCGGGTTGAATTACTAATTGTTTACATTTAGAGGCAGGGGCAAAACTCGCATAGGATGCGTTTGTTCAAAAAGAGACTTTGCACACAATTACCTCATCCTTTTGGCCAGTATGTATTAACAGCTCAGTTGTTTCAGCTTTATAGTTTCAAAAAAGGAACGGGTTTTAACATTTGGATATTTTCATTTTTCGATTTTGAACTTTGTTGACTTTTGTTGACCTATATCTTTTGACCTCTATTATGTAGGAACTTGACAAATTGAGTTGGGCGTGGCACTTCCGGGTTTAATTACTCATTATTGATATTTTTGGCCAGGAGCATAACTCACAAAGTATACGTTTGTTCAAAATGGAACTTTGCATACAATTATCTCATGAATTGAGCCACTTTGTCTTAGAAGTTCGGTTGTTTCCGCTTCTTAGTTCAAAAAAAAGAACAGGTTTTGGAAATTCAAAATTTTCAATTTTTGACCTTGACCTTTGTTGACCTTGACCTTTGTAGGATCAAACGTCATTGGCATTGGCTATCTATTTATACTTTTATATTTGCCGTCTTATGTCAACTTCCGGTTTTATAGTCGTGTGTAATTAGAAATTTTGATGACGGATATCTCTTGATCTTGACCTTTTTAGACCTTACAAGATCAAAGGTCATTGACCTTGGCTATCTGCTGATACTTTCATTTGTGAGGTCTGACGCCAATTTCCGGTATTAGAATCTTCTAAAAAATGAAAATTTCTCAACTTTAGACTGTTCTTGCGCTTGATCTAATTATCGTCGAAGGTTGATTTTTTCAGGGTCTTTTGCATTTTGCTACGTTTGCAAAGTCCCACTCTGTGCCACGAGTGGCTCTAGTTCTATAAATATATTTCTATTTCTTTTGTAAAGGTGTATGTAAGCGGCGGGCATCACTATCATATATGTTTAAGCATAAGATGCCCGCCTTACACTAGATCCGAGTGTGGGCGGGAATGTGGGATGAAAAAAAAAAAATACCATAACATTGTGTCCGTTATTTAATGTGATCTCTACCCCTCAATGTCGCTAAAGGATTAGTGTTAATCATATTCTCAACAACCAGCACATCGTATAGCCTCCGGTTATGGCTTCAGAGTTGGGTTTGGATCCCACTTCTGACACCATGTTATGATTGTATGATTGACAAGTCATAAGGAAGGTAAGGTTTAATCAGAACAGCACCGTACAAAAGCTGGACTGTTAAGGGCGTGCTCAAGCACTGGATAAAATGACGTTCGTATGTAAGGGGAATCACTCAGAGTTTTATGTTGATTCAGACCAAAAGCACAGTCAATAACATTAGTCTGAATCCCTATAAAATAATGTAACACACTGAAAAACACGACGATCCATGAGTATTCTATGGTGGACATGTCGGGGGAACATGTAAGCCACGGCAACACGTTGATATTATTAACTACAAGGAAGTTTATTATGATTCTGTCGTATAGGGTCTGGCGTTGTCATATGGATAAATGTCATCAAGTGACTGTTTTCGGAGAAATGGCAACTAAATTGTGAATGCCAAACTAATAACATAATATACAAGGCAGAAGTAAAACATATTTGGAACTGACTGAAAACAAAGATTTAACAACCATATACAGTCGTTTAAACATAAAAAAAATATGACAATAGCACCGAACTCTCAATTTGGCAACTTAAACTGAAAAATAATAATTACAAAATATCCTGGTCCCAAAAAGAGCTAAAGCATACAAAAATAAACCCAAACGATGTAATCTGTGTTTAACTGACAAGTTTTCCATCATTAATGCCCTTATGCACAGGTCTTAAAACAAATGTTCCGAACTTGTCTCGAAATGTAGACATGAAAAATAAGTTCTACTAGTCAAACTTCAGTAGGGACAGGCTGAAAATAGGTCAGTTGTCTGATTATCGCATAGCGTGAAACTCTGAGTAACCACATTATTCAAGTTCTGTTTTAATATTTCTATATCGCTCTACAATTGATGTATTGAGCACTATATTAACAGTGAAAATATTCTATTATTGTATCTCTTTAATCTCTAAAGTTAGTTTATCTAGATGATGATTTAAATCAAGGACAACGATAAGATAGAAAATATTAGATATCACTTTATCATTATTTTGATCGATTGGGCCGTCGTCAATGATGTATATTGGATATATAATATTATTTTTTATTGCATGGTTTGAATTTGGAAAGTGTCAGAAGAAGAATGTACTATTCTTTGCTTCCGATGATATGCGACCAGAACTGGGTATTTTTTATGGACCTGATTTTCCCTCACCGGTACATCCTAAGATATACTCTCCGAACTTGGACAGTCTAGCTAAGAAGAGTTTGCTTTTGAAAAGAGCGTATGTACAACAAGCAGTATGTTCACCAAGTAGGACGTCTTTATTAACTGGTCGACGTCCCGACACAACGCACGTTTACGATCTCGTTCACTACTTCAGAAATGTTGGTGGAAATTACACGACCATACCTGAATTTTTCAAAAATAATGGATACAGTAGTATTGGTATGGGAAAAATATTCCACCCAGGAATAGGGTCTGGTTTTGATGATCCTGTTTCCTGGACAGAACCCTACTATCACGCTCCGGATGAGCGATACAGATCAACTCTGTTCAGCTGGAGAGCTGTTCCAAAGTCCGAATATGACATACGCCCACTCCCAGACATGCAGATAGCACAACATGCTATAGAAACATTACAGAAGGTTGCACCAGCTGCAAAAACTGGACAACAAAATTTCTTCGTAGCTGTTGGATTTCACAAACCTCATCTTCCATTTGTGTTCCCTGAAGAATACCTAGCATTGTATCCAATGGATAGTATCAGACTACCAGATAATCAGTTTGCTCCTGTCAATATGCCAGACGTGGCATGGAGTAACTATATCACAACTGAGTTGAACGCGTATCATGACATTCAAAAATTAAATGCCTCTGGTGATATAAACACAACATTGCCGGATCAGGTGGTCATGGATCTCCGCCGTGCATATTACAGTTCTGTTTCTTACACCGATAATCTGCTAGGAAAGGTGATGGCGGAATTAGATCGTCTAGAGCTTACTACTTCAACGATAGTATCATTTTGGGGAGACCATGGGTGGCAACTGGGAGAACATGGAGAATGGTGTAAACATACAAACTTTGAAGATGCTGTCCACGCCCCGATGATGATTCATGTCCCAGGGGTAACGGATAATGGAATTGTTACTGAACAGCTAACAGAATATGTTGATCTGTTTCCGACATTAGTGGAAGCAGCAGGATTTGAGCCATTGGAACTATGTCCTGAAGACTCCACTCATACAAGTTTGTGTAGGGAAGGGAACAGTTTGGTGCCTCTAATGACAAACCAATCGCGCGAATGGAAATCATCAGTATTTTCACAGTATCCACGTAATAACTATACTGTTATGGGTTACACAATTCGAACTGACTTATATAGATATACAGAATGGGTTAGATTTTCGGGATCTCCAGCATACAAGCCGAATTGGTCGATACTTTTTGGAGTGGAACTTTATGATCACTCAATAGATTCAGAAGAAAATGTCAATCGCGCTGATTTTTCTCAGTACAGAGAAATAAAGACAAATCTTAGTTACCAATTGAGACGAGGTTGGAGGTACAGTCAACCTTAACTTTCAATATAGATTCATTGCTTATATTCTAATATTTGCTGCAATTTATTCAAATCAATTCTTATATTGCACATTTGACAAGACTAATCCATCAACGTTTTACTTAAATCTTTTCTTTCATATGATACAGGTGGTTTTCATTAATCGGCCAACTTCTATTTGCTATCTGCTCCCCAAACTATATTTGAACTCGATTTCTATTACACTTACGTATACCGCCATCTGTTTTCTTCTTCCAAGTCTCAAAATTCTGAATTTGATCAAATTATTTATTGAAAGCCAACACAGCCCCCAACTGTCTTTGTCTGTAGCTTGGTTTGTGCTTGTGGACGAACGGAATTCTTGGTGATGACGACTTTTGCCTGGTGTGGACTCTCTATGCACTTTTGCACACTTTCTTTCATATATTTATATAAATAATCAATCGTGGTAACTATCACACTACATTATTTTTTAATTATTATATATATTAGAATGTTTATTTACTTATTTAGTTATCTATTCATTTATGTTTTCTGTATTTTGATACATTGTATTTGGTGACGGATTAGCATAAGCCTCGATTTGTTTCCGAAACCCTATTTATATCAAAAAAATACTGTTTAATCAAGTTTTTTGTAAGGAGATATATATTGTGTTCTTAAAAATATCAATCAAAAAGGTGAAATAAAGGGGAAATCCTTTTCCAATTTATTTTTTGTATTTCTACTCGACGGTTGATATTTGTAAGTCATCAAGAGGAGTTCTATATGAAATTACCTCATATGCAAGCGAAACTAACCTAATTTTTAATTGTCAAATGTGCCAAGTATTCTATTTCCAGGTCATAAACTGTCCGAATTTAGTTATAAAATTCCTAATTTTAATCCTAAATAATTCTTAAATTTCTTAATTTTAAACGTACAATTATCCCTTATTTTTCGTCAACGAGTGCTGAACAGCCTGCGAGTGGATATGGTTTTTATGGCATGAGTGATTATGATATTGAAAATAAATTCATATTAAGGTGCCATACACACAATTAGAGGAACTACATTTTGTAGGTTATGATTTTGTTTTTGTCGTAGTATATCAAAATTAACGGCTGGATTTCTTAGTTAAAACTTTCAGATACGTTAAAGGGCAATTTTTTTAGATTTTTGTGTATAGCTTTCACAAATTTGTGCAAAAGAAATTTTCGAAAAAATAAAAAAAGTCTAATGTCCAAAAACATTTTCTAAAAATTAAATTGTGCATTCTGGTACAATATTCAGGGGCAAAAACGTATAAAAATCATATGTTGAAAATTAAAGTGGGGGTACAATTGGGGGTGCAAACCAGTTTTCTAGGAGGTAAATGAATCCCCTCCCTCCCCTAGATTGGAATCTGAAGAGCTTATTTGTGGACCGAATCACCTCGTTTTTTTATGTCGTTTGTAATACGATGTGTCGATTAAAAGAGAAAAAATCAACAATTTTGAAAAAGAATTATATAAAAAGAGAATTTAATTTGAATTTGCCCGCTTGAAAATTTTTAAAAATCTAAAAGATTATATCTTGTGACCCTGACCTTCAATGGCCTTGAATATTTCCGTGTAGAATGTCCTTGGGAACTATCTATAGATATGCTGATTAAATGAATTCTAGCTTTATAGCGCATCTCATTAACATTATCTTTGAAATAATATGGCAATAATGCATAAACATATTTGGAAAAAAACTGAAATTTTTCAACTCCAGTCCTAACATCAAATTTATTTATCCCACATCAATGAGATTTACATTATTAGAATGTATGCGGAATTCTCTCTATAAGGATATGTGACATGGATGGTTTGCTTTAAAAAAAAAGAGTGGGAACGTGGGGTGTTGCCCCTCTGTCCATTTGACCCACTTTTTTACGGGCGCTTTTTGGATGACATTTTTATGGTTTGGACTTATTCTATCGAACAGTTTGGGGAATTCTTTGAAATTCTCAACAACCACCATCCTTCTATCAAACTAACCGCAAACGTGAGTGACAAAAGCATAGACTTTCTCGATACCACAGTCTTTAAGGGAGATTCCATAGCAGAAACAAATAAACTGGATATTAAAGTGTATTTCAAAGAAACTGATACTCATCAACTCTTGCACAAGAGCTCCTTTCACCCAAAACATACCTTTTCTGGTATAATTAAGTCACAAGTTTTACGATTTCATCGAATTTGTACAAGATCTTCTGATTTCAACCAAGCCTGTACGATTGTTTTCTCAAAACTGAAAGAGCGTGGGTACTCTAAACGATTTTTACGAAACATAAAAAAATCCACCTTAGCACAGATAGCAGCTAAAAACAGACTTTATGCCGAAGTACCTCCAGGTTTAAGAAGTGCTCCGTGTTTGTCCAGTAGATGCAAAACATGTCCCTTTATATCAGAAACTCATTATTTTGTAAGCAACTCTACGAATAAAAGGTACCCGATCCAGGAACATCTAACATGTGAACATTCGAATGTAATATATTTAATTTCATGCAAGAAATGCCCCAAACAATATGTAGGAGAAACTAAGAATAATTTACGAACTCGCTTTAATGCTCATAGGTCGGACATCAAATTAAAGAAAGATAAGCCTGTTTCTAATCATTTCAACCTCGACGACCATTCAATAGACGATCTCACCCTAATCCCAATTGAGCGTATAGAAATTGACTTGCCCGAAGATGAAACTACCAAATTCCGTCAATCTAGGGAGGCCCATTGGATTGAGACATTGAATACAGCAAGACCTATAGGACTAAATATTTATCATAATGTAGGCATAGCACCCTTTGTTGTCCCGTTTAATACAACCAGCAATCGAGCAAGCAAGATAGTTCATGCCCACTATAAGAGCCTTCAAGAGAAATTCCCTCATGTCTATAAGCAGAAAATGATAGTTGCATATTCAAAAAATAAGAACTTAAATGATAATATTGTTCATAGTAAACTAAAAACAATCAGTACATAGCAGATACTATACTTCTCGCCCATCGGGCGAGTTATTTTTTCTAATTTCAGATTAGAATAAGAACAGAAGAAAACCCAATATCAAGACCCTTAATCCTAATTTCTAAATAAAGTGTCTGCTCCACCCTAGGCCTGTACATTTGGGAGATTCAAACCCTCCCTTCCACGAAATCTATATCGTAGCCTGTAGAGTGAGCACGAGCCAAAAAAGTGAGAAAAAAACGCGATTTTCTCTCTCGTTTTTTTTTGGCTCGTTCTCACTCTACAGACTACAATTCTCTATTGAGGTAAATGTGAATGGACGGACGGACCGACGAACCGATGGACGGACCGACAGGGGCAACTACAATATACGCCCATACTTACAGGTGGGCGCATAAAAAATGTAATGGTTTTATCTCATAAACTCTTAACGTGTCAAATTTCCAAAATGGGCAGAATAACATTTAAATCAAAATTTCAATGTGCACTTGATGACCCCAAATTTTCTCAGTCAAAATATAACAAACTTTTAAACTACTAACTCCCCTAGAAAACAATATTGACAAAACTGACAATTTTCAAACTTACTTCCACATAATCTCACATAATCCCACAGCAATAGTCGAGTCTTATTTTATCAAAATACATTGAGATAGAGTCACAATTCAACATGTTTATCATCCATGCATAACGCTGTAAACAAAATGGCGGATTCTTAAACTAAATAAACATGCTTCGCAATACAGATACATGTATTACATAAACGCAAGCTTGTAAATCAACTAATTTACCTGAAAATGTGTGTTATTATTCATTCAATGTCGGTAGATTCCAATAATAATACTTGTTGATTTTGTAATCGATAATAAACATTACAAAACAATGTCAAACCTCCATCACCCTTCGTGTCCGTTTCACATGTAAAATTACGGAATTCCCAGAAAAGACAATTTCTATAAATCTTTTTTATAATATGATGCGTGAAACCATGACACCGTACGAGCGTCCTTTTACATCTACTAGTAAAACAGAGCCCCAAAATAGACTCTGTTGAGTCTGAGTGGGCCTAGATCCAAAACCCAGTTCACGTACGGGATGAAGCAGCAATAATAACTCAACATGTAACATGATTTTAATATCAAACAAGCTATACAGGTAGAGTTTTGTATACATGTAGCCTAATGTAGGAAGACGCAGAGAACCAATGCAGGCATAGCCCTGCCTAAACTTCTGAAACTATGGTCAGATTATATCGGACAACATCACAGGCGTATGTATAAAGGATGCAGGTCACGCGTTTTTCTCGCTCTCTCCCTGCAAGACTTTGTATTAGCTATATTAATTTAGTGTTTATGGACAAAATATAGCTCAGAAATATCAAGAGATTGTTGTTCAAGTCCAAAGTTACATTTTTAGAAGTTCCTGTATATTCTATTTCTCATTGGAACAGGTTCAAAAACCATAAAGATCATTTAGTTTTTGGAGATCGGGACAAACAGTTGTTGAATCAGATTTTGGAATTAAACACCATCATCCATGATCTGAATTCATCAATTGGTTGTCATTCTCCATATTTCTGTGTGGACCTTTATAGACTGTCGAAGAAATCACAAAAAAGAATTCCGGCGGCACATCCATTTCTTCCACAACCAAGCAATCTTGTTCCTTCAACCTTTACAAAGATGGAATTCATCCTGCAGGTTCACTGTCCATAGTTTGGATGAAGAAGATTACTTGCCAAGTTGTCAAGTATTGTTGGGTCTGATAACAGTCAGTGAAGGTCCTCTTGGCTGGACTAACTTCCAGTTGCTCAAATAAGTTGAAGACAACTTAGAAGAATCCATGACCACTTGCAGGGTGTTGTGAAAGATTTAGAAGTGTGGGGGCTTTCTTCGCCACCTATTCAACACTCCTGTATTACCAGAATATGTTGCTTTCCAACTACAACTACTTAATTTGTTCAGAAGGAAAGGGCTTGCTCAACTAGACTAAGTTCAGTTCAAGTGGAAACAGTGGCAATAAATCGTTTTCGAAAAGTTCAAGATCAAAGTTGATGACATTTTGAGTATACCACAAAGTTTGCTGAACTATTCTGTATCTTAGGGTCCAAGTCTTAATTTGAACTTTCCAAAAACACAAATGTTTGATGGCTACAGAATAATTGACTTAGACCAACTTCAGAAACAAAAGTCTGGATTTATAATGCATACTGCATTATGTTCTGAGGCACCAATGTGTGCATTGGTCAACCGTCCTGTTGTTAAATTGACGGCTGAGAAGCAAAGACTTGGATTGGCTTCAATCATGCCAGTTGAATGTCAGGGGTGTGGTTAGCTGTTTCAACTGTCGACGTCGAAAAAAACTTCAATATCACAGCCTACATTCACTACCATTGAACAGGAAATTGGTAACTGGTGGTACAGTGTCCTCAAAGAAGACATGTTGGCTGCTGGAGCTGAGAAAAAAAGGCTAGCTGAAGAAAGGAATGACTATTATCAAGGTGTCCCCACTATAACAGCTGTATGTGATGGTGGATGGAGCAAGAGAATCCATGAGCATTCCTATAATGCTCTTGGAGGTGTTGGCATCATAATTGGACAAGTGCCCCGAAAGCTATTCCATATTGGCATCCTGAAGAAGATCCTGGGCAACATCAGTGTTTTAAGAATTGGGATGAGTCGAGTCAAGCTATGGCGGCAGATGTTATTGTGGAAGGCTGTATGATTGCTGAGAATGATCGTGGTGTTCGCTACATGCGCCTTTTTGCAAATGGTGATAGTTCTGAGTATGCAGGAATACAGGAGGCAGTACCAATTTGGGGTCCTCATGTAACTAAGCTAGAATGTGTAAATCATGCATGTAAATGCTTCAGAAGCAGTTTGGAAAAATCGGTTGACATTCTACCAAAATTAAAGGGAAGAGGAAAGTTGACCTTGCCGACTAGAATAAGATGAACAATCTGAATCCGTTATATCAGTTTTGGTAGACCAGCAAGACTTTTGGATTGATGATTCTTCTTTGAAAGATCAGGAAGATTCCAGATTGCAGCTGACAACGAAATCATATACGAAGTTTGTCCGCTATTGAACGGCATTGCATCCAAAGCTGGAAGATTACCTGGTAACTTCACCACAAATCTAGCTGAGGCCTGGATGAATATTCGTGCCAAGTTTGATGGTGGACAATTTTTCAACAGATGCTCGAGAGGGTCTTGGCACTGCAGATGCTATGATGCAACTCCAGCGCCTGCTTAGTGCTCGACAAGCAAAAAGCTGGATAATTGGGAGAAAACAAAGCTAGACAGGAATATGGTCCAGATGCCATCGAGGTTGTTGCTGATCACTCTTCTCACCAGTTTTCAATTTTGAAAGCGAAATTTGACAAAGATTCCTTACAGCTGTCTAAAGAGCGGGTGAAAGAAATTTGTGTAGCAACAATCTCCCAGTCTGTTTCAGACATATGACATGATGAAAGACTGGAAAGACTTATTCATCTAACTTTGGAGTCATAATGGCACGGAATCCAAAAATCGCAGTTACACCATTCATCAAGAGGTTACTATATTCCACTTTCAAAAGAAACCGATTTACGAAGATTGGAGTAGCTGCAGAGAAGGCAACAGTTTCTGAGTATTGTGCAATGAAAGCTACAGGTGGTGACCCTGTTACATTAAAGCACACGGGCTTACAGATTCTTCACAGTCATCCATTTCTCGCTGCCAGCACAGACGGAATTGTGTCATCATTGGCATCTGGTGAGAAGGGTTTACATGAGGTCAAGATTGTTCTCGTGAACAAACAGTTGACATTTTTAGAGGCAGCAAAATCGGTGTCTAATTTCTGCATAATGCAGTCAAGTGGAAATCAACTGGTTCTGAAGAGGAATCATAAATTCTTTTACCAAGTTCAAGGTTAGCTGAATGTTTTTGAAATGAAGTGGTTGGATTTTGTAGTTCTCTACATCAGCTCCATATTGAAAGAATAGTTGTTGATAAGAACTTGTGGGTGAATGCTACCAAAGCTGACAGCATTCGACTATGCTTTTCTACTACCTGAATCGTGTGCACAGAGATATGGGAAAAGTCCAGGCATCAGAGAACCTGGTGTCTGGGTAAGTAATATGATTATTTTTTTTAACATAATATGCTTGCATTCTGAGACTCCTCTGTAAGCCGTTAATTTAATGAATGTTAATGGAAGATTTAAATATCTCCAGTCTGTAGTATACATGAATTCCAGTCAGCATGTCGACAGACGTCAACTCGTCGATGAAATTTGATGAAAGCAATCGTCGACAAAAGTCATATGATCAAATTCCTATCACGGGTGACAGATCTGATTATCTACGTGTGTTGTTTATTCAATTGAATAATTTATCGTGGTGAGGTATAAATTAGTTCTATTGCTTATTACCAATTGAGAATATTGAGGTGATATTTCTGAAGAGTACTTATATAATTGATTTTTTTTATCATATACCCGAAAGTTTTAATTTCTTGTCCAAAAATTGTAGGCTTAAAAGCAACGGAGACAGGCTGGAAGTTGTAAAAGGTTGCCACGCTCGGAGCTGTTCACAGTTCTAGTTGTTTCTTGATTCTGAGTTGCACAAAACTCTTAAAATAATTCAAATTTAGGCATATATAAAAAAAAATAATTTCGCAGAATATGTCGATATATCGGGTGGAAAATTCTTCTAGTCGTTCGGATGGGACGTCTGCCGAGGCCCCGTTTGATACAAACTGTGCACGTTAACGATTCTTCCACAGTTGAAAAAAGAAGGTTAGAGCAAATGTCTTTCGTTGCACATTGCATAGCGTTGTCCGTCTCCACTCGCCCATAGATGCAGAAAAGTAGGACGTAAAACTCCGTTCATTTCATTTTGTCACCAAATTGCAGAATACAAATCCGCTTGTTTATCAAGAGTCTTGATTACCATTTGAGCTGGTCAAACCGCTTCAATAAAAGAAATTGTGTTTTGTTTCAAAAATCAAATATATTTTCAAATTTTAGCGTCTTTTACATTCCAAATGTTGACTGGCATGCATTTCAAAAGTCTGTATTAAATAACTTCGATGTAATTTTCCAACCCGTGTCATCCAGTGCAACTAAAATAAATATATGTTTTATAAGGGTGTAATTTTACTTACTGCGTAAAAAAATGTTCACAGTCACCAATCTAATGCTTAGATGACATCAAAGGAGCTTTCTAAGGAGACAGAAAGACTTTTTTTAAATCCCCAATTATAATAAATACATACAACCCACTGGCAAGGTACAGGCCTATAAGAGTCTTTTGTGTATATATTATCACGCCTTGAAGCTGTTTTATTCTGGTTACTAAAGCAGAACAAAAGTAGCGTATCTTTTATAATCGTAATTATGCAGGATGAGCCTTGAGTCAAGAATTCTCGACTTATTTCGACCACAGGGTTTTTGAAAGTACAAACATCTGATATACATTGAAAATATGATGTTAGGTGGATTTCGTTCTATTTCAAACGTGCAGAAAAGTAACGGGATTGTTCTAAGGCAGTATCCCTTCAATTAATTAATAATTACCTTTAAATCCAGCTGCTTCATAAAACCTTTTCACCGTCTTCGCCAGTGTATTCTGACGAACAGCGTCAGTATAGATTAACAACTACTCTGGGATGATATAAATTGTTATTAAAAAGTTAACAAAATACAATGGCAGAATAAAAACAGGGGTAATTTACATAACCCAGCGCATGCGCAAGTATGCATAGAACACGGGCAATTCGGGGGGGGGGGGGGGGGGGGGGCCTATTATATTTTGTTTATAAATGTATTAAGCATATTATTATAGCCTAGTGTACATGTGTCAATGCGCTTTCTATAAGTATTTCCTGTTTAAAGTGTCAGAATTGTCTAGATCATAGTTTGCATTTCATAGACACAATTTTCCCGTCCGCTAAGATTTATTGTATATTTCCTAGTTATACAACGTATTTTCATAAGTCTCAATATATTGTCAGTTTCATATCTGTATTGTATTCAATATGTTAGGTAGGTAATAAGAGAATGGAACTTATAGAGTTAACTTGTGTGCATTGATCAGTTAAGTGTAGTCTGTAGTCTTGCTAAACGAGGTTACGTGCCTTTAGTTGATATTGATTCTTATCAGTATAACTTTTATCTTTTCAGAATAAAATTTTATTATTTCTGTAACATAATTCTGCTTGGAATAAAAGACATTACTGGAAGTTTGTCTTAGCTAGAACCTTCTTCGCCCCTAAGGATAGTCTGGAACATACAATTTTCTGAAGGGAATTCTGAGAGAATTTATTGTTTATGATTCCTGTTGACCAGTTATTTCCTGAGAGAGAATCAATATGTCTGGTTCGGAGGAGACTGTGGCAGATGTCCATGCTGGTCCATCTATTGAAGTGGATAAAACGTCAGAGTTGGTAGATATCAAAAACAAAAGAAAGATTCTAAAAGATCGAATAACACGAGCTATAAACCGTGTGAGAGAATCTTTGAGAAATAATGATACCAACATTAGAAGAATCAAAAGAGAACTGAGTGAAATTAAACAGGATTGTGAGACTGTGATAACCTTAAATAATAGTCTTTACAATTTAGTTCTTTCTTCTGAGACAATTAAACTTGATAAATGGGATGATGATTTACTTTCCACAATATTTGATGTGGAGGAAGAGATTGAAGATTACATTACTTCCCTAAATAGACACAATCAGAGCATTCGTTCCCCATCTCCTGTTGATGTGCCAAGAAACCAAGATTTGCTAGAAGCAAATGAGAATGACAATTTGTTGAATCCTACACCATCACATGTTCCTGTTAGTCCATCCATTGCTGAGAGTCCCCCTAGTAATTTGTCAACTACATCAGAGATACATGTACAACCTGAGTTAAACCACATTACCCATTCTACAGTATCCAGAGAAACATCTAGAAATGCTACTTCATCCTCACCTTCAAATAAACCATTTGACTCATGGATCGATGAGCTGAAAGAATACACTGGAACTGATCTGGTTAGTGAAACAAGAGACCTATCTATTGCTGAGGCTTTATTAAAATTAGAAACTAGTCGTGACATTCCTTCTATTCAAATATCGAAATTCAACGGTGATCCATCTATGTATATTGAGTTTATGGAAAAGTTCAAAATTCACATTCATAATAAACCTCATTTAAAAGATGAAATGAGAATGATTCAACTAACTATGAGTCTAGAAGGAGAAGCAAGTCGTGTTATATCAGGTATGGGAGATCAAGGCATTATGTATGCAACTGCACATAAAACTCTTAAAGAAGAATTTGGTCAAAAGAGTGTTATAGCTAGAACATTTATAAACAAACTGACAAAGTATTCAAAATTGGCGATTTCTGAGAGAAATAAATTAAGGGATTTTTCAATGGACATAATTAGTTGTATAGCTGCATTAAAAATGATATGTTATGAGGCTGATGTTAATGCTAGTGAAACTTTACGTTCTATTGTGAGACGTTTTCCGGATCCATTGATTACTTCATGGAACAATAGACTCCCTGACATCAGAGAGAAAGGAATCACACCTACAATTCGTCATATTAGTGACTTTGTTAGAAAAAAGGTTAGAAGTATTTTTGATCCTGATTTTGGTGAAATCATCAAACCAGTGAAAAGTGACAATAATAGTAAACCCTATCCTTCACGTTCATCTAACTTTGGGAGATCAGTCAACTCTACTCAGAGAACTTTTGATTATAAATGTCCAGTGTGTGAATTAAATCACAGAGTATTTGAGTGTCGTACATTCAAGAATTTATCACATGATGAGAAGACAAAAAAGGTTGTCGAACTCAGACTTTGTTTTTCGTG